AATTAGATAATTAATCTGATAAAGAACAAACATTTTCCTTCTACTTGATTCAGACTTATGGCAACATCATGTGTTTCAAAGTAGAACTTCACTCTGCAGGATTTTCAGTGGCTAATTTATGGGAAGTAGACTGCCAGACTTTTCTTGCAAGGTGCCTGTATCTTTCCTTCAACCTCCAGCCTTTCGCTTAATACCTGAGCACTTAATCTTTTACGCAACCCAGGGACTCCAATTAGTTGATTCTGTACCGCATATTAAATTGTGAGTGCTTTCTACCACTCTCCTGTAGAGCTTACTGTGTCAACTTTCTATAGATATTGGTGGACCTTTTCTAGGATGTTTATTTATCTTTGTTGATCTATTACGTATTCTTATGATGGTACCATTCTTTCTCATATAGTTTTATTTGTAAAATAAATATATGTGAATACAATTGTATATATGGTATATGTGAACAAGCCCACGAGTTATTCTTTTGAATACTGTCACCACTATAAATCATCTCTACTATCCTTGGAAGTTCTACATATCCAATTATTTAACCTGAAAACATAGATTGAGGTGTTTTTTCTTTTCAACATTCTTACTTCTTTACCTTTTTTCTTTTTCTTTTTTTGTATGGATTGGGTATAGCCTGTACAATAACACTGACTAGGAATGGAATAATGTCCTCGGTTTTTACCTGCTTTTACTAGAAAAGTATTGACGTTTTCTGCAAGTATGTGCTTTGCTATACAGTTTTGTATGTGGCCAATTTCATCATTTCTTATCTGATTATGTCCAAAACCCTCTAACATGGCTTGCAACTTTTACATTTGCCCCCACACACAGATTTTTTAAGAGCTGTCATAGCATTTTTCATCTTTGATCAAAGGCATAAAATTGTTCTGCATTTTTCTCAGATGAGAAGCCAGAGTCTTTTCAGGAGTCAGCACTTTCCCCAGAACATTATACGCCCATTGGCTCCAGTCACCTCTTCAAATTCGTCTACTGTTTTCTTTCCAGCATCTCACCCTGCTCTGGTATTGCTGGGGTTTGGGCCTCCCTAAAACATACCAGGCACACTCCAGCCTGCTGACCTGTGCTCTGGTATTTCCTCTTCCTGGAACAGTCTATTCTCAGCTGTCCCTTTGGTAATTCCTTTGCATCTCTCAAGTCTTAGCTCTGATCATTGTTTTCAGTGAATTCAATTAATTAGGCTATTGCGGTCTCAGGGCAAATGACTGCCCTCCAAACTGGAGGGACACGTAGGAACTCTGCTTCTGGGGTTCTACTCCGGAATGATTGTATCTGCCTATGTGTTCCTCCAGTTTGGGGGGCAGCCCTTTTCCTTTGACCTTAAACTCTTGGTTCAGTATGTTCAGCTTTTTCTTGAGGCTGGGAGTGATGACTTCCAAGCTCTTGTCAGATCAAAACTTGTAAGTCTTCATTTGTGTTTTGTATCATTACTATTGTGTGTTTTCTTTACTTTTTTGATAGTATTTATTCATACTGCTTTTATTCTTCCAGTGCCCCAGTGTACATGTTTATCGTTTCCCAATGAGCATTTCATTTTGTGAATAACCAGTGTATCTTCCCTTTCCAACCCATGAAGGTCGGTGGCACTCTTTCACTGCTATACTCCTACACTGGAAGTTCTTAAAGTCAGTGAGCATCTGAAATATATACGAGTGTTTGCAGAATCATGACAGAGCACTTCCAAGTTTTTAGAATTACAAATATATTTCTTTTTCCTTACCAAGCCAGGTCTCACTAGGTTGTGTTTCATAAAATAACTATTTTACTTTTCCCTGCACTAACTCACTAAAAGTAAATATGCTTCTATTACTCCTTATCTCCAGACCATGCTGCATTTTTCATAGACCTTACCACCACATGACATTATATTGTTGTTGTTAGTTGCTCTTTTAGTTTTCTAGTGTCTCTGTGAAAGAAATACCACAGATTGTTGGCTTTAACAAACATAAATTTATTTCACACTTTAGGATGGTAGCAGTCTGAATTCAGGGCGCCAGCTCGAGGGGAAGGCTTTTTGTCTCTGTAGACTCTGGGGGAAGCCCTTGCCATCAATCTTCCCCTGGTCTAGGAGCTTCTCAGTGCAGGGACCCTTGGTCCAAAGGACATGCTCCACTCCTGGCTCTTGCTTGGTGACAGGAGGTCCCCCTACCACCCATGCTGATTTCTCTCTTTTATATCTCAAAAGAGATTGACTCAAGATACAACCTAATCCTGTAGATTTCGTCCTGCTTCATGAACTGCCTCTAATCCTGTCATTAACATCTTAGAGGTTAGGATTTACAACATATAGGTAATTAGCTTACAAAATGGAGGACATCCCCACAATACTAGGAATCATGGCCTAGCCAAATTGACACACATCTTTTGGAGACACAATTCCATCCGTAAGAGTTGCTGTGGAGTCATTTCTGACTCACAGCAACCCATGTGTGCAGAGCTCCATAGGATTTTCAAGGCTCTGATCTGTCCGAACAGATTGCCCGAACTGTCTTCCAAGGAACCTCTGGGTGGCATCGAACCAACAGCCTTTTGATTAGCAGTCAAGCGCTTACTATTTGTGCCACCCAGGGAACTTTACATTATTTTTCGTTTATTTGCTCTCCACACCCAAAGAAGTTAGAATCCATGTGCATCTGGAGATTTCTGGTTTGTTCAGTGCTGTATCTGCTTTCCCTGTGTGAAGTTGCCTCTGTGTCCATATTACCTAAAGAGTTTAAATAAACGACACAGCCAGATAGACTGGTGCAGTGTAGTGAATTACATAATATGGCCCTTCTAGCCATAATCTTTGTAACTCCAACCAAATGATTGGGTGGGACCATGCTAATAAGGCATATGGAACCCTAAATGAGGGGATTGGTCAGCTTTGCCATCCTGCTAGGCTTAAAATGAGCCATACCAGAGGTGCGAAGAGAGGATCTCACTAGGACAAAGAAGTATAAGCAGGAGTGGGGGGTGCCTTTTGGACCTGGGATGCCTGTGACTCGGGAGACAGAGAGTTGTAGCACCGAAGACAGCAAGATGTCCAGAAGCAGCAGCAGTGGAATGGAACGGCAGAGGCAGCAGAATCAGTAGGCTGGCAGAAGACCATTAAGAGAGAGCATGGTGGTGTTCCCAGCCCACAGTGCAAGAAAGCTGAGTGCCTCCAGGCAGGAGGCTTGCACGGGGGGTAGGGTGCCTATTGGAACTTGGTGGAGCTAAGTTTACTGACCCAGAAAGCTAGAGCTGAGCACCTTCAGGCTTAGGCTTCCTGGCAGACTGGGGTAGTTCAGGGTACTTACTTGAAGAGCTAAAATAGCTTTGTAACACTTGCCTGAGCAGGGCAGAGAACAAGGGACCAGAGAGAGGTGCGTGGGTAGGCAAACTGAGAAGAGACTGTCATGATGGAAGAACTGTATCCTAAGCCTTCCTGAGGCTGAATTGTAACCAGTTACTTCCCTAATAAACCCCATAATCATGAGTATTGTCTGTGAGTTCCATGTGGCCATTGCAATGAATTACCGAACTGAGAAGAGAAGTAGAAAATGCTTTGGGAGGGAAAGTTGGTATCGGAATTGGTAAAGATGGCAGAGAGAGGAGGCATGTCTGCCCTCCGCCTCATAGGAATCAGCCTTGGGTTGTACTTGATTCTCATTCTACCTCGTGAAGTTATAGGTCAGACACTGCTTCTGCCGCGCAATTATTACAAAGGGCCTAAAGGGAAGTATTCTTGCCTGACACTGGGTTTTGCCAGGAGAAGGAGAACCAGGTTGTCTGAATTGAATAGGATGTTTCCTTTGTCTCCTGTCCCCATTACCCAGCAGGCTGTAGATCATGCATGTAATTGAGGATTAACAGCCAGAATAACAAGAAGACTGTAGGCATATGCAGGGAAATGTAGTTGTCAGGAATTTAGTCTTTGGTATATTGACCTGAATTCTGACCCTGGGTCAGCGACATACCATTTGGTTAACATTGACTAAGTGATAAATTGATTGTAATTTTCCACATGATAACCCATTTGAAGCAATATCTACTTAGGAGGGGCATGAGGAATAATGAACTAGTGTGCTGAAAGTTTTTTGCAAATCCTTTGAAGCATTTTAATTGCTCAATAAATGCAACAGTTTATTATGAATATGTTATAGAAATGGAAGTAAGGGTTTTTCTTGGCTTTAAAATATATAACAGGCTGCACTGCAGTGGAGGAGACTTTTGAATGTGGCGCTGGATCAAAGATTGTTGTGACAGTATCGTACCAGGATTCATAAGGAGTGACCTGGACAGCTCATTTCACCCTGTAGCCTATCTGTTCTACAGTTGTCAGCTGTTCAGTAAAATTGTAGCATCAGAAGTGCTGTGTAGCTGCCTTTTGTATCATGATTACATGTAGGAAACTAAATAGTTGATGCTATTTTACGTATGTCAGTCCTGCATCCCAGACAATGCCAGTGGTCAGGGTTCAGGTGATCATGCTTTGTATGCCTTCCAAGGGCTGCAAAAGTGAGAAAATTTTGGAGTGGATCATCCACAGGGTTGGTGCGTAAGTGTCTATTTCCTAGGGTGCACGAGTAGTGTTACAGCTAAATCCCCTGCACATCAGTGAACTTACTAGAAAATGTGAATCTTAATCTCTTGTTCATGGTCATCTAACACAAGGGCATGCTATTCTGATTCTTCAAAGATTAGGCTCTTTGTCATCTTATAACATTAGTGTGTGGGTGGGTGTCTGGGTTTGATTTGTTGAAGGGAGGGTTACTCATAATTGCTGTACAGTAGCTTTGGGTCTCAAAGTTTGAAAATTTGATATCTAGATTCTCTTGTTTCCTGTGTCTCAGCTGATTTCCGTTTACCTTGGCAATATCCTTGCCTGTCTCCATGAAGGGACAGAGTGCATGACAGTGCACTTGCAGAGTTATTGAAAAGTAGGTGAGAGACCTGTAAAAATTTGCAGTTCCTCAAAATAATATTTTCTTTTTAGCAGGTGGTCTTGTCGGCCCCTGATCACCTGGAGTTCTTTAAGAGAATATGAGAAGCTTCGTGCCTTGGATTGGGTTTCCCCTTCATATAGGCCACTGCAGCCCCCATGGCTGCTGAAGGGCAAAAGGAAACACTGCCAGTTTTGCAGTCTTTCCCAGTTGTTAACATTTCATTCTACTTTCACTCTGTGTTTCATGTTTCGTTAAATAGTCTGCAGGGTTCTTGCAAGGAGGTGAATTTCTTTTTATTTCACAAGGAAGAGATGATCCGAATATGGAAATAGGGCATTAACTGTAGAACATTTGTCCAGTTGATGCTATGTGTTCTGACCTTTCTAGACCATAAAGGTAGAGAGGAATGAGACTACAACTGGTTACAGTCAGACCGTGGAGAGAGAAATCCATTGTGTTGAAAGGATTGTTAAGTCTATGAGACAGGATGCAGTCCGTGAGGAAGTCAATGTAGATAGTGAAGGGATGAGGCAGATGGCTAAACCCTAGAGCAGACCTTAGTAGAACAGAAAGCTTGTGTCAAATCCCCATGAAATGGCTGTTCTCCAGCACTGTCAGCTTTACCCTTCCTTTCACACACATTGGAGTACATGGTATATGCTGAACCAGAATATCTGATCATTTTTAGGACTCAGTGGCTGTTGAGGATGTGGCTGTGGACTTTACACAGGAAGAGTGGGCATTGCTGGATCATTCTCAGAGGCAACTCTACAGAGATGTGATGATGGAAATCTTCAGAAGCCTGGCCTCAGTAGGTATGGATTAAAAAAACAAACCCATTGAGTACCAAAGTCTTGGCTGAGTCAGGAAAGTGTTCATTGCTCCTCCCTGTCTTCCTTAATGGTAAGCCTTTCTCCATGATCATCACGTCAGCTACACCCATTTGTTCTCCTAGAGTAGCAAGAGGAAGACTTGAGAAGAGTGCAGACAGCACTTGTCCAGGACCACTGTATTGGGAGCCCCAGGAGGCAAGAATCGTTTGAAGGACTGGGCCTGCATGGAGGGAATGAGATTTGAAAAAATCAATTAGAAAAAGTCTCTTTTGGGTTGAAGAGTTTGTGCTTCACAGATACCTGAGCTTGCTTTTTTGACTTTCATCAATCCTAACACACCTGGTTCATGGAGAAAGACTGTCCTCTTTTCATGTTCCGTATACATTGTGTCCAAACCTTTCTACTTTGGTCTTCTAATTACACCCTAATTATATTTCCATCACTCTCAATCTTCATGGAAGTTATTTGCTAGTAAAGTGCTTTCTCAACATTGCCAAAGTACGGAAACAGCAAAATGTGTCAGAAGCTTTCTTTGCTCACAGCTACCTTTTCTCTCTGAGTATTTTCTCTCCTTTATGTTTCATGTTGTGAACCTCACCTTAAATCATTGGGTCAGCTTCTCAAAACCTTATTGACGGAGACAAGCTATCCACTGAAAATATAATGGTACGATTCATGAAAAATGACACCTGGTCCTCCATGGTAGGAGAAATCTGTGAATTGCCTGTCACTGAAGATCAGAATAACAACCAGAAAACACATGTGAGGTGAGTGACCTTTACACGAGAGACAGCAGTGCTTCAGGAGAGTCTTCAGAAGGTATAATGACATTAAAATATTTATATGCCTAGGGACCCCATGTGGGACAAATGGTTAGGCACTCGATTGCTAACGAAAAGATTGGAAATTCGAACCTATCCAGTGGCTCTGTGGGAGAAACACCTGGCAATCTGCTTCAGTAATAATTAAAGCCAAGAAAACCCTATGGAGCAGTTCTCTGCCACATGGGGTCACTGTGAACTGGAATTAACTCTGCAGCACTGAAACAATAAGTATACACACCCACACATACATATGCATGTGCACACACATGTATGTGTAGAAACCCATTACTGTCGAGTCTATTCCGACTCATAGCAACTCTGTAGGACAGAGTAGAACTGCCCCAGAAGGTTTCCAAGGCTGTAATCTTTAAGGAAGTGGACTGCTGCATCTTCCTCCCATGCGGCTGGTTTTGGGTTCAAACTGCCAACCTTCAGGTAGTAGCCAAGTGCTTAACCACTGCCCCAGCAGCATTCCTGAGTTTCTATGAGTATATATGTGTGTAATGTATGTATGTATGTGTGTATATATGTTTGCATGCATGCATATATGTATATGCACACACATACAGAGTCCTCATGTTTTGATTAATGGTTAGCTTCAAAAGACCAGATAGTTCTGTGAAAATCGGCATTATGTGAAAATAAAGGATCTTTTGTTTGTTTTCAGACCATCCATCTGTCCAGTTTTTTTATCTAGAAAATATGTTCATAGACATAACAACAGCTAAGGTTTGCTTATGTATTCATTAATGTGATGAGTCATTTATGAATAATTCCTTTGTGGGGAAAGAGGGTTGAAGGAGACAAAGCTGAATAAACCCAGGCTGTGTGCCTGGAGGACCCACAGCTTCACCACTTCACCTTCCTCTTGTGCTACGTTAGAGCTCCCTTCGTGAAGCCACGTCCAGGACTCCAGTCCCACCCCTATAAGCCCTGTGTTCCAGATCCCAGAGTCTATTCTCTCCAGGCCTGGTGAGTCACTAAGGCTCGCGGATTTTGTGAGGTAGCTGTGAGCCTAGCTACGCAACCAGCCCCACCAAGGTGGAGGCTTCAGGCCCAGTTCACATCACTTTGGGATGTCATTAAACTCGCAAGCTTTTCTTCCAAACACCCTCTCCATTGCACTTTTTTTCCTACCTTTCCACCCCACAGAAATCTTGAGTTGTAGGGCCTCATGTCGGATAGGAGATAGGAACCCAGAAGAGGTGCCTGTTCTGCTGAGCAGTGCCTGTGCATCCACCTGGATGCTGTGGTCTCAGACGAGCCTGCCCCTGCCTAGCAGCTGGATGTGGCAACCCTGCCAGCAGGAGGGACCGGAGGGCGTGGGTTAGTGCTGCCCAGGTTCTCTGATGTCATTCTGAGACGCTTATTAACATGCATAGCAATCAGTAGATTTTTGTTCTGTTGTAAATGAGAAACGTCAGATAATGAGACAGTTTATAAGTAAGGAGTAGGGATTTCTGTTTGTGTGCACATCTCAAACCTGTTGCTGTCTTGTCTTTTCCAACTCTTGGCAGTGCTGCTGGGTGGTTTTGAACCACTAGCCTTTTGGTCACACGGGGTCACTAAGCTGGAATCAACAGCACTTAACAAGAACAATTATGTGTGTGTGTATATATATATATATATATGTATGTGTATACACACACACACACACACACTTATGCATGCCAGTACGTACTTGTGCCATCCAGTTATATATGTATTAAAAAACAGCTCTAGTATTGTGTTCACAGAATTTTCACAGGACAAAATTTTCGTAAATGTGAGTCAGATATTTAATATTTGAAACATTTCACATAAATATGATTGTTAGCACCATATTTTAGAAACAGTATAAATAATGGTAGAATGACTGCTAGATGATTTAATCTATGAAACATTAGAGAGTTCAGAGTAAAGAAACATGTCTGATGTGTATTGTAATGGTGTAATAGTAACAAATTTGTGTCCAGCATCATGCTGCCTATTTTTAACAGGAGGCGTATGTTAGAGAACCTCTGTGAAAGTAATGAAGACAATCATTGTGGCCAGACCTTCAGCCAGATTCCGGATCTTTCTGTGCTCAAAAGAACTCCTATGGAAGCATATCCTTCTGAATGCCTTGAGTATGGAAAATCCTTGATGAATCATTCATCACTTAAGCATCATATCAAATCTCTCTCTGGATGCAGTGCCTATCAGTGTAAGCAATGTGGAGAAGCCTGCAGTTGTCCCTCTTACCTCAGCACTGCAGTGAGAACTCTTACTGGACAGAAATCCTATGAATGTAAAAAATGTGGCAAGGCCTTTAGTCAGTCCTCACACCTCAGTTCACATATAAGAACTCACAGTGGTGAGAGGCCTTATGAATGTAAGGAATGTGGCAAAGCCTTTAGTCGCTCCTCACACCTCACTTCACATGTAAGAACTCACAGTGGTGAGAAGCCTTATGAATGTAAGGAATGTGGCAAGACCTTTCGTCACTCATCATACCTCACTGTACATAGGAGAACTCACAGTGGTGAGAGGCCTTATGAATGTAAGGATTGCGGCAAAGCCTTTAGTAACTCCTCAGACCTCACAGTACATAGGAGAACTCACAGTGGTGAGAGGCCTTATGAATGTAAGGAATGTGGCAAAACCTATTGTTACTCCTCAAACTACACTGTCCATATGAGAACTCACAGTGGTGAGTGGCCTTATGAATGTAAGCAATGTGGCAAAGCCTTTTGTCGGTCCTCATCCCTCACTTCACATACCAGGACTCACGGTGGGAGGCCTTATGAGTGCAAGGAATGTGGGAAAGCCTTTAGTCGCTCCTCACACCTCACTTCACATGGAAGAACTCACAGTGGTGAGAGGCCTTATGAATGTAAGGAATGTGGCAAAACCTATTGTTACTCCTCAAACTACACTATCCATATGAGAACTCACAGTGGTGAGAGGCCTTATGAGTGTAAGGAATGTGGCAAAGACTTTCGTCGGTCCTCATCCCTCACTTCACATATCAGAACTCACAGTGGTGAGAGGCCTTATGAATGTAAGGAATGTGGCAAAGCTTATAGTCACTCCTCACACCTCAGTGCACATATGAGAACTCACTGTGGAGAAAGACCTTACAAATGTATGGAATGTGGCAAAGCCCTTTGTTACTGTTCAGACCACACTAAACATATGGGAACTCACAGTAGTGAGAGGCCTTCTGAATGTAAGCAATGTGGCAAAACCTTTCGTCGGTCCTAGCACTTCACTGCAGATATAAGAACTCACAGTGGTGAGTGACCTTATGAATGTAAGGAATGCAGCAAGGCTTTTATCAGTTCTTACAGCTCACTAGACATATAAGAATTCACAGTGGAGAGAGGCCTTAGGTAAGCAATGTGGGAAAGTCTTTGGTTATTCTTTATGCCTCACTGAATACATAAGAAATCACCCTGGAGAGAAATATGTTGAATATATGGAATGTGGGAAATTTTGTTGTGATTCCTAAACCTCAGTAATCATAAAAATTCATGGCTTAGAGATGCTTTATAAATGTAAGTAGTTTGTCCATGTAAATGAATTATGATGAAGAAACAACCAATGGTTAATTGCAGACATTCACTTCACCCTTTAAGCCGCTACAAATAAGGTCAGTTTCCTACCAGAACAACCCAGATCTTCATTGTCCCTCAAAACGAAAATTTCTCCAGTTGTCCATAAATTATCTGTTGGGGTTTTTGAAGTTAGGATCCAAAGCATATTTCCACATTACCTTTTTATTTCTAGATCTGCTTAATCTGTCTTACATAGAACATTCTTCGGCTTGTCTTGTAAATGTTAAAATGTTTAGCATTCTGGTACAGGCAAACCTGTGATAGCCAGCACACATGTAAGTCAGAAACCAGAGAAGAAAAACTCATTGGGTGTTTATGATGTAGGATTCTTAATAGAGAGCAAAAGGAAAGTGATAAGCACCCAGTAAAAGGTGGAAAATACAGAAGACCTGGTAAAACAAGGCACTCCCATCGCACTCTGGCTCTCTCAGGTTTTACTGTATTTGTGTTATTATGATTTTGTTTAATTAGTCTTATGTATTTTTTGTAATACATTGAGTCTTGCACAGTTCTAATAGAAATGTAATGCACATAAAAGATGTAATTTAAAATATTTTAGCCTTATTAGACACATAAAAATGTAAATTTGAAATTTGTAATGAAGAATCTTATTTAATCCAATATGTCCATTTATTGTCAAGGTAAAAATTATAAATGAAATTAAGCAATATGAATTTATGAGACATTCATATTTCCTTTTTTGGTACTCCATCTTCCAGAATCCAGAAGCAGTACGTTTCATAAATGTTATTGTTGAAAAGTAGACTCACAATTCCAGGTTGCTCCAAGCATACTTTTCTAATAATTAAATCAAGTTTATTGTTATATTTAAATTAATAAAAATTAGAGTTTATTCAGTTTCTTAGTTTCATCAACCAGATAGATTGTTGATACCTTATTAGTGTTATAATGCAAAAGAAGTCCCTGGATTACTTTGTACTTTCCTGTTCCAGATCTGGAATCAACCCTTTCTCCCCAAACGTCTGGTTCCTTTTTAAAAACCAAGGTGTGTGAAATACATGGGCTCGGTGATCAACCAGAACCTGTTCCCATTGAGTCAGTTTTGTCTCGGCCTTCCAGTGAGCATAGAAAATAGATTATTTCTTACATAGTAAATTCATGCTTATTCCTAATAACAAATGTAAGGTTATATATGTATTTATATAAATAAATATATAAATGTATAAATTATATACATATATATACAAGAAATGGTGCCGGACAATGTTAAATATGCAAAATTGTGCTGGACAGTGTTAAATAGGGGATCTAGGCTTTATTCTGCCTGTTGCAATAGGAAGGAGTCTTCAGGATAGGTCTGAATTCAGCCCCAAAGGGTAAGGTGAGGCAAGAGGTTTTTTATGAGTTCTGGGTGTCATGGGGCACTGGAAACTTACTAGTTTGAAGCTGGCAAGCAAAAACATGCCAGGAAGATGGGTTTCAAGCAAGAATTGTAATAGTTTTCAGAAATGTTTCCTCACGGCTGATTTATTAGGCTAAAGCAGGGAAGATTCCCGGGATAAAAGTAAATGGGCAAATGTCACTTTCTGTTATTTTGTATTTGCATTTCTTTTAATAAAAACCTTGGTTCCTGATAATATGCAAATAGTTTCAATGTCAATACTAATAGAACTGACTAAAAACTTACTTTCTCAATTACTGAGTTTTTCTCCTTTTTTTTTGTATGTCCTGGTTATACATTTACATTAAGGATACTAACACAAGGTTATCATGCTTAAAAATTGGCTTGAGCACAAACTCTTGTGCATGGTTATGTGATCAGTTTGATACTGTTACCTGCCATCGAGTTGGCTCCAGCTCATAGTGACCTTATTTATGTTGTTGTGTGCCATGGAGTCAATTCCAATTCTTAGCAACTCCATGTGACAGAGTAGAATTGCCCCATAGGGTTTCCTTGGCTGTAATCTTTACAGAAGCAGATTGCCAGCTCTTTCTCCCATGGAGCTGTTGGGTGAATTTGAACTGTGAAGGAATTGGTTAGTAGCCAAGTGCTAAACCATTGCACCTCCAGGGCTCCTTGACCTCCTACATAACAGGACAAAATGTTGCCCAGTTCTGCACCATCTTCATGATCATTGCTGTGTTTGAGTAGTGCCAACCCAGAGGGCTCATCTTTCAGCACTGTATCAGACAGTGTTCTGTTGTGAGCCATAAGATTTTCATTGACTGATTTTCTCAAGTAGATTGCCAGGTTTTTCTTCCTATGCTGTTGAAGTCTGTAAGCTCCACTAATGTTTGTCCACCATGGGTGACCCTCCTGGTATTTGAAATACTGGTGGTATAGCTTCCTGTATCAGCAACATGCCAACCATCACAGTAGGTCAAACTCCCAGATGGGCAGTGGCAGTTTGATATTATGGTTACTTATTTCTGTGTACATTTCGTTTTAAGGTTTGCTTTCACTTTGAATTATTCCTTTTGACCTGTAAAACGTTCACATAGTTCAAAACTGAAGACTATATGAAAAGCTGTATTCAGAAGGATGACTTCCTCCTATCGTACCTGTGTTCTGTTAATATCACCACCAGTTACTAACCATTTCCATTTTGTTTCCTATGTAACCTTCCAGTGTTTCTCAGAAATATCCCTCCCCCAGAATACATACATACGTACATGAGTGTATGTTGGTTATTTATCATGTTTTCTTCACATAAATGTACTTCTTTCCACTTTATATATACTGGACATCAGCCTGTCTTTTGTTTCATAGTATACAGGAGATCAAAGCATAGGCATTGGCAATGGCTGTGGCCGTGTGTGGTGGAGCCCAGGAGGGCTTTTGGACAATTTCTTTCTGTCTCAGAATGTCCTTGGTCAATGTTGTGTGCTGTCGAGTCCATTCCAACTCAGTGTCCATATAGGATAGAGTAGAACTGCACCATAGGGTTTCCTAGGCTGCAATCTTTATGGGAAGAGATCTCCAGGCCTGTTCTCCTGTAGCATTAGGTGTTTTCTAACCACTGACGTTTCAGTTAGCAGCAGAGCACTTAACCACTATGCCACTGGGGCTCCTTCCTTGGCCAATAACCACGTGTAAATATCCTGTTATTTCACCTAATAGTACCTTGTTAAGCAGCGCTCATCAAGTGGTGAAGAAAATAACCAAACTCTTCAAAGTCTTTGTTTCTTTTTACATGTAGATGGAAAATGTTCAGTTTTAAACCTATGGTTCAGATGTTTAACTTTAATATCAACAATACAATTCCTAGCCCTTTAAGGCCCTTCTGTTTACGGACAAGTATTTTATGGGGCCTAGTCTCTGAAGGAGCACTGGTGGTGCAATGGTTAAAGCACTCAGCTGCTAACTGAATGGTCGGTGGTTGGAACCCACCAGCTGCTGTGGGGTAGAATGCTGTCACAGTCTGCCTCCGGAAAGATTTACAGCCTTGGAAACCCTATGGAGAAATTATGTTCTGCCCTTATTTTCACTATGACTCAGAATTGACGTAACGGCAATGTGTTTGGTTTTTGTTTTGGTTTAGTCTCTTTGAACCCCCACCTGTCTGTCCCTTTGTTGTACTGTGGTGGCTTACATGTTGCTGTGATTTCTGCAATCTATGTGACGGGTATTTCAGATACCAGCAGGGTCACCCAGGTGGACAGGTTTCAGCAGGGGTTCCAGATTGAGACAGACTAGGAAGAAATGCCTGGCAATCTACTTCTAAAATTAGCCAGTGATATCCTTATGGATCAGAATAGGATATTGCCTGACAGGAATGAAACATGCCAATGATCACGAAGATGGCACAGGACTGAGCAACTTTTCACTCTATTATACATAGGATCTCCATGAGGTGGAGCATAATGGGCAGCTAATTACAAAGTCTGTGAGAGGCACAGACAGAAGGGGTTGGGAATTCTCAGCCACAGACCTGCAGTTCTGTGTGACTCCACTAAATGGTGCTGATGATCCTCCTAACCCTTCGTAAATCCTTCTGTGTCTAAGCAGGTGTTTTTCCCATGGAGTGTTTCGAGAGGGCACAAAGAGGGAGACACTGAGATTTTTTAAATCTCTGTTTTGGGATGCCTAAATGTAGCAATGGAGCCCTGGTGGCGCAGTGGTTAAGAGCTCAGCTGCTCAGCAAAAAGCAGTTTGAATCCACCAGCCGCTCCTTGGAAACGCTGTGGGGCAGTTCTACTCTGTCCTGCAGGGTTGCTATGAGTGGGAATCAGCAGCAGGTTTTTGGTTTTTTTGAATGTAGTAATAATAACAACCCCAAGGTAGTATCAAATTGGTCTCTTCTCTGCCACTAGAGTGAAGACTTTCAGTTTTAAACCCAGGGTTCTGTTTGTGCAGATTTAAGAGTCAAACCCCACCTTGATCTGATAGGACCCATTTCTTGGGTGATTTAAAGCACTGCAGAGACCCTCATTTTTAAATAACCTAGATTAGATTGTTTACATTGGAGTCTGGATAAAAGGTTCCCTGACCTCTAGGGGTCATCAGGTCTTTGCCCATGGAGAGAGGAGGGGACAAGAACCCCAGAGGTTTCCTAGTGAGTGAGATGTGAGTCCTGGACCCCTTTTTCCTCACAGCTGCTCAGTCCCCTTTTTACCTAGGGACCCATGTATTTACCCTGGCAGAAACCTTATGGGGTCACGTTCCTGCCAACCCCTTAGCTATGTGACCATGAGCAAGTTGCTGGACTTGCTTTGCCTCTATTTCCTCAGTCATCAAAATGAATAACGTCTTTCACCTGGCACATGGATCACCCCAACTGTAAGACACTGCTGCCTGAGGCCACCTCTCAGCACTGCCCTTTGCCCCTCCCCCATATGACATCTGTGCTCTCAGTCTGTAGGGCCAAATATTGGGACAGTCAGGCCACTCAGGCCACTAGACATTCACTCGCACTGGGTCCAGTGGAGCAGCCTGAGGGGGGCGGGGTGGTTATTGTCTGGGGCAGATATGGGCTCACACTGTGGTCACATTAGAGGGCCTCCTCCTCATCAGGGTGAGTGACCCTCCTGAAAACGCCATCCTACAACCACTGCTTACCTAGGATTGGAATTTCTCCTGAAAGTATAAGACTAGTTCCATAGTGATGCTGTTCTTGTGAGGACTGCCTGGAATCCCCTCTCTGGCCCACATCAGGTCAGCATGGAAGTCCTAGCGCCCCAACGTCTGAGCCACACCAGCTTCACACACAGCACACAAGCCTCCACCTTCCTCCATCTCTCAGCCTACATGCTGCCGATGCTCTGTCCCAGGTATCTGATGCACTCTCCTTTGTAAACACCGTGGCCTCTCTGTGTCTGGAAGATGTAGGAATTACATCTTTGTCCATTGACCCTTACCCAGGAGGGTCAAGGTTTTTGTCTTTTTCCCTGAACCTGTCTGACATTTAATTTGCTGTTATTTCAGTTCTCAAATTCACAATGTATTAAGTTGTTAAAAATCACTTCTGTTCTCTGGCATTCCTCTGTAGTACTTCATTGGCTTAAACACCTGACAGGAAAGGACTTAGAACCCACTCCCAACCTGGTGGGCGGTGTCTCTCATCGCCTGTTTTCTGATTACCCAGGTCATGTAATAATGAGCCCACCACAAGGCTCTTCCTTCATTGTCAGCATTGCACATATGGACTGACTTCTTAGGAAGACAGATAAGAATCTGGCTCCTGAAACCACCCCATCTCCCCACTTCTTTAATACAGTTACGTCACAAGTCTAGTGCTTCCACCTCTGCACTTGAGGTAACACCTCTGACACCCACTTCGGCCCCCACCTGCCCCCAGCCTTGGACAGATGAGTGTCCACTTTTACAGTGTGCACTCCAGTGACCAAGAGGTGAGGTGAGCAAGGCACTCACCTAAAGCACAATATCTAAAACGGCTCAAAAATGTTTGTCATCAAGATAAATCTTATTTTAATATAGCATGCTAAAAATCAGAAGTAATGCAAAAAGTCCAAGATAACAAAGCAGGAATGTGCTTGAGTTTTCCCTTTGCCTTGTGTCCCCCTGTGGCCCTGGACTCACCTGGGGACACTTGTGTCCTGCTGTGTAACTTCAGATTCAGGAAGATCTTCCAAGTTGGTGGCAGAGATACCACCTCCAGGAGTGAAGCAGTGGTCTTGGCCACCCAAAGGGGCTATTCAAGTCCAGCCACACTGTCCTCAGGCCTGTGCAAACATTGTGAAGAACTTCAAGACAATGACATCCGTGTGTGATGCCAAGCACAGCCTGAGGCCTGACTGGACTCCTTTTACCTCCTTATAGGGGCTCAATATCGTGCTGGGCTCAGCTTGACTCATGATCTGTGGGTGTAAGGCTGTGAGGCCAAGTCGCCTTTACGATCAGAGAGCTCGGGTCCCCATCTCACCCCCACCACTTGAGAGTGGTGTGAGTCTGTCAAACTCCACAGCCTCAGTTTCTCTGTAAAATAGACGTCCTCATACCTACTGTTGGGAGAACTAAAGTGTAAGCCATTAAGAACCGTGCCCTGCAGATCTAGGCACTTTGAGTCATGGTGACACCACATGTGTTAAAGAACTGTGCTCCATGCAGTTGGCAGGGGCTGATATTTTGGAAGTAGATTGCCACACCTTTGTTCTGAGGCATCTCTA